CTGCTGGCTCAACAGACTTCCTCTATCTCCTTCTCCTAGACCTCCCCATTCCACCCCTCCGGGGAGAAGATGTCCCAGAATTTGCTCAGCAAAGACCATATGCCCCTGGTGGAATTGCTAAGTAGAGCCAACCCTCCACCTCCACCTCTACCTCATGCAGTTGTTCCAGGGCCTGTGCCTCTCCCTGAATCCCATACTTGGAATGCATCCTCCTGTGGACCAGAGACTTAGAAAATACTCTGCAAGACCAGATATAACTGGGGATACCCACCAACAATGCAGAGGCTTGGAAACTGAAGAGGAAAAAGGAAAAAAAAAAAGGTGTGGAGGGGAGTCTCATAAAAATAGAAAGGAGATCAGTAGAGTAGAGGACTGGGACCTGGGGAAGTGGGGAGGAATAGAGGAAAAGGGGACAATGAATCCCACTATTAGGTATAATTATAATGCCCTAATAGTACATAAATAGAAATAAATAGAAATTTTAAAAGAAGTATCTGTGTCCGAAGGAGAATACAAGGTGATCTAGGGAGTACTACCAAATGGAAGTAGCAGGTCAAAGGAAAGAAGCTTGAGGGACACTGGCAGGAGGGGAGGGACCTGGCAGGAGGGGAGGGATGGTGTGTGTGTGTAGGACAGGGCACAACCAAGACTGTAGGGAAATACACAGATGGTCAGAAATAAGCTAAAGTGGAAAAGAAAAAAAAGGAGAAGTATTGAAGAGAGTTAATGATACCACAGTCATACACACACACACACACACACACACACACACACACACAAGTACATATTCTGTTATCCTAAAAGCATCATCTTGGACCTATAACTACTAGAAGGTGCACTTGAACTCTATTCTAAGAGTTGGGAAACTTGTATTTTAGCCCCAATTCTAATACTAAATGGCTTTACTCCTGAACCCTCATTAAAAAAAAAAAAAAAATGGGTTCAGTCATAATTCCCTTAAAGGGCTGTTGTGAAGATTAAAAGATAACATAATTATTAAATTATGTTATCTTTTAATAACATAACTATAAGTGTGAACTTAATGCAACCTTCTGCAAATGTTATGTAAAACTACAAGGTATAAATAATAATGCTGGTGCTGTTACCAGGGCTTCAGAGTTGTTGCCCCAGCCATCATGTACTATGTGCCTCAGTGTCTCTATCAATAAAATCAGATAATTGGATCATAGACCTGTCTGGCATATCTTATCTTAGCTGAGGGTTTATGACATAAGGAGAGTAAAATTGGTTTAAATCCTTAGAGAAAGAATACATTATGTAAACCTAAGGACAATGAATACTCCTCTTTCTGAAGTACTTTTAATGGTCTCTGAGATTTTTTAGAGCTATAAGATAGTTATAAAGTAATATTTATTCATCTCTTCTTTTGCTGTGATTTTTTTCCTTTCTTTTTGAATAGAGAAATGGATATAAAATAGTTAAATCTTCTAAAAAAGCAGAGGTCATTTTTTTTATTGTTGTTGTTGTTTACTTTTTCTTTTCTTACAGTCCCAGTTGTAGGCAGCTATTTAGGATGTTTCTCTCTTTTATTACTCTAGTAACCCTTTTTGCTAAGAAGTCAAGCCACCAGAAAACTGTTGGAAAATTATTTTGTCGGTATGTCTTATGCTATAAGACCATGAGGGGAAAGTCTGGAGGCTAAAAAATCACTAAAAAATAATAGCCTAATTACTAAACAACAGCTGCCAAACGGTTTCTTATCTGTAGTTACAGATGCCATGGTGAGACCTCCAGCTGTAACAATTAAATGTTCCTGTCATTGACCTCCAATAAAATACCATAAAATTGCCCTTGTATAATTACTGCTGATGCCAATAATATGAGGCACCTTGGGCACATCACTCCACCTCCTGTGACTGTACATCCCCCCTTTTAAAGAATGGGATCTCAATGATTCTAAACTGGGGAGATATTGCCCTTGGGGGTATTTGTAAATGTGTAGGAGTGTGTTTTAATAGACAAGGCCAACAATGCTAAATACCCTGCAGAAAGCATGGGACATTCTTCCAAAATGAAAAACTGTCCTTCTCCAAATGCCAATATCAATGTCAATTATCTCTAATGTCCCTTCAGACAGTCACTGACACTACAGGTCTGTTCCTTCATTGATTCATTTAGTCACCAATTACTGAACCCCACTGTATGCTGAGCACCACCCTTCCCTCATTCAAATGTCCCAGAAACCCTGGCTTGATTGTATGCTTTTTTCCCCTTCTTTCTGGAAAACCTTCCCTCACTAACAGGACCACCAGACACAAATAAGGATTTTCTAGCTAAAACCAATAAGAAATAGACCCCAGGACATATCAAATGCTTGGAGGTTTCTAATTACACTGGAAACAAAAAGACTCACTTCAGCCCTCTTCGAAGATTGGAAAGTGGCCTAGTTTGCACTCAATAATTCAGGAATGGAGACCTTCAGCTCTACTGACCGAGGGCTTCCAGCCAGATAATGAAATCCCAGTTGTGAGGCATGTAGCAAAAAAAATTTCAACTTGATTCAATCATTTTTAATTTTAAGAACAAATCACCAACTGTTTTGTGCTTAAGTGAACAGTTTTCACTGGCAAACTGAAATTTCCTAATATACATAAGCGGCATCTGAGGCCAGTTGTAAAACCTTCCTTAGCACATATTACCACATCAAGTCGGCTCGTTAACTTACATTGCTAATTAACTGTGCAGTGAGCCACTGTGGGCTGCAATGCAATCCTACCTGCTGCCACCTCCTGCACCAAGTCCCTCCAGGAGAGCCACAACCTCTGGGCCAGGCCCCAGCCTCACAGTGCTGCTCAGTATTCACATGATGCTTCCTCAGTTTAACCTCATCATCTCACAGCAACCCCCGGGACAGCTTTCCATTCTGAGTGATTGTTTCATTTTGCAAAGGGGAAGACCAGTGCCTAGAGATGCATGAGGGTCTGCTCAGGTCACAAAAATGCTTTGGGGATGGAGGGAATTTTGAGTGCTATTCACACTGCCAAGAAACCACTTTGACATTCAGGGATACTTTGCAAATATCCAAGCCTTTAATGAATTTTAGAGACTCTAATTTGATGTTTCTGATCATTAAAAAAAATCTTCATATATATTTGATCAATAACTATTATTGGATACTTCTCATGATCCTAGCAGTGTTCTGCTCGGTGGGAGTACAGTCCTTCAGGCTGTAGAACCTCCAGGTAAGGAGACAGGTCAGATATTATGCCAATTCCTCCATGTTAATTCAGTACTATTGCAGCTGGCAGCATGAAGGAGAAGCACAGTGCAACAAAAGCATCAAACAGGACCTGACCTCACCTACAGATCCAAGAGGCTTTCTTGAGGAGGCAACACCCAAGTGCAGATCTGAAGGAAAAGGAATCAGGACATTCAAGAATTGAGGTGCAACATTACAAAAGCTGGGGGTTCATGAGTGAGGGACCTGAGGCAGGAAGGAAGAGTTTGGTGCAAGTAGGAGAGGATGCTAGCTCAGTGTAGCTGGCACAAGTGGGAGAGCATGGCTGGAATAGGCATGGCAGACATTTCAAAGGTGGAAGTGGCAGAACTTAGTGATCAATAGGATGCAGGCCATGAGAGTGGAGGAGCATGGGGGATCACTACCCATGCTAGTTGCTATATGATAAAGTCACTTGCTTAAGATTCTAGCAAGGAGCTGCACTGAGCAGCAGGATAAATCACAAGTTTCTTCTTTGGCACATGGAGTCTGAAGTTCTCCGGGACATTAGTTTGTCTCTTGTAGACCCTGCCCTGGTTAGTGTATCCAGAGTTTTTTCCAGGGGTGACATTGAGAGTTAGTTCTGTGCAGCACAGAACACATGTTTGGAAACAGGCATTGAGCGTCTCACACTGTACAAAATACTTTGATTATGTATTATCTCTGAGCTTCACACTGATCGCTGGGGAAAGTTGGTGGAATTGTTGTCTTCATTCTAATAAGAATCTGGAGCTTCTGAGTTTTTTATACCCAAGGGGACACAACTACAAGTCAGGCCCTAGTTCACCAATTCAGGTCTTTTGACTCTTGATGTGGGATCTTCTCATTTCACCATGTTACATCTCTATGTGATCGAGGCAAACTGCACCAACTCTGGGGGCTTCCGTGTCACATGGAATCTAATTTCTTGTGCATAAAAATGAAGTCAAAGTTATTTTTCTACTTTTTGTTCAAACTTTTCAAAACAATAATATTTAAATTTATTTATAAAGCTTCAAGACTAATATTTGTATTAATATTTAGAGCTCTGTTTCTCTCTCTCTCTCTCTCTCTACTGTAAATTGAACCCAGGGGTACTCTATCACTGAGCTACATCCCCAGCCTGTTTTATTTTTGAGACAGAGTCTTGCTAGGTTGCTGAGACTGATCTCAAACTTGCAATCCTCCTGCCTCAGCCTCCTGAGTTGCTGGCATTATAGGCCTGTGCCACTGCACCTGGCACAGCATTTCTTTCCTTTAAGAGTAAAATGACAAGGACAGACTAAGTAACTCTTACTGGTAGTAGGGAGACAATTGTCTGGGAGAAATTAAGTTCAAGTTCTGTCTAAATTCTAAATTAAATAAACGTTCTAATACCCTCACCTTCCATTCTGAGATCTGTTCCTAAAGTAATGGAATCATGTAAAATGACTGGATCTTTCCTCTGCGTGCCTAAGTGTTCCAGTGGAGACCACCAGGGCTCTGAAGAAGAGGGAGGCAATGCTGCCCTCACCCCAGAAGGGGCAGGAGAAATTTCACTGCCAACCTGCCTTATTGATTTGCCTTCTTCTTTCCCTCAAGGCTCATGGGATGTTTACAATAAAGTGAAAAATTAAAGTTAACTTGCATTTAGTTCTGTTTTAACTGAATCAGTTCTGGGTCTACATAAAAACTCAGGTTCAGGGGAAATATTTTCTACAGAGCTGAATTAGTGACATGGCTTCCTCAGTGACAAGTACAGCACTCCTGAACCTCCTCTTATGTACCTTCCTCCCTCCAATAGCTCCTGGACTGTTTTGTGATCCCAGTGGTGATTCTGCTCTCCTGGTTCTTCCTGCTGATCCGGTACAAGGCTGTGCATTTCATCGGCATTGTTGTCTGCATCCTGGGAATGGGCTGCATGGTAGGAGCCGATGTGCTCGTGGGAAGGCATCAGGGAGCAGGTGAGTCTTTGGGTGGTCACCAGGTTGGTGACCTCTGCAGGGGACACCAAAGCAAGAAATGGAATGTTTGTGATTGGGAGAAACAAGGATCTTAGGAACCTGGTCTTGACAGTGTCTGTGTCCTATTCGTGTTTGTTCCCCACACCTAAAATATTGGCATGCAGGAAGTACTTAATAAATGTTTCTTGAGTGAATGAAGGGGGCATTATGCCTGCAGGTGAATTCAGAAACCTGCAGACAGTGCTTAAAGTGGAGTTACCATCTACTCGGAGGAAATTTGGGAGGCCAAAGCTACTGGCCTAGACCAGCTGATTAGAGAGAGGTGTTTTCATGAGACAGTTCATTCTAGGAGCACAGAGTGTTCCACACTCCTCCCTACTCCTCCATACCCCAGCCCTTCCTCTGCCAAGTTAGAGAAAGACTGGGCTTTCAAACTACTAGATGAAAGTTGGCTTTTTAGCATAAGTGTGGGTATTTAACCTTTAGAGGCTAGATCAGGAGTGTGGGATATCTTTACAAGGAAGAGCTATGTACCATCTCCTCTTGCATGGATTTTTGTTTATTTGTTGTGAGGGAGGGGCTACTGATATTAATCACAGCTTGTGGGTGAAGTTTCATGATTCATAAGATGAAGCTTCCTGATTAACTCATCAGATTTCTGTGAACCTATTGGGAAGCCCCGATGCAAGAGATTTCCAGAAGATACTTTAAAAAGCATTGTAATTCTTTAAAATACACCAAGATCCTGTAATACAGAAGGGTTTGGGGAACATGAAAAAAATGACTGCCTATGTTAACATCAGGCATGGGATAGAAAGTCTCTACTTTTTTATAGTTCTTGGAATTGCCCTTTCTTCTTAGGAAATTAGATAATAAAAACTAAAAATTGGGGCATTGCACTTTATGAGACTAGGTCATAGAAAGTCTCCAAAATGATGTCATTTATGTTGCCCCATAGAACTTTAGAGCAAGAAAAGACCTTGTTCACCTTCTTTATATTTGACATATAAGAGCAACCAAAGTCACAGAGCTGGGACAGCAAGAACTAGACCCCAAAGTTCCTGTTGCTGGGGGCTAATGATACAAGACAGAGCAAAAGAGGGACAGTCTTGGCCTCCTAGGACCACAGCCTGAACAACATTATCATTCTCCACCTCAACAGATAGATGTCTAACAGTACACACTCTGGCATTTTCCAGTTCTCCCCTGTGAAACACTGATTCCAAGCATATCAATAGATACCGGATCAAAGGGCCAAATTTGTGTCTTTACATGTTATCAGTGATCTCAATATGAATAATCTCTTTTGAACTAATCAGATGGTACTTTTATCTGATGCAATGTGACCAGTCCTAAAGTTTCAATTTAAATACACTTTCTCAGCTTTCTGGGTACTATGTAAACACAGACTAAGAAGAATTCTGTATCCTTAAAAAAAAAAAATCTTTCTACCAATCCTGGCCATCCTGGCCATCATCTTACATTCCACAGTCAAGGAGACCATGTGTCCTGATAAATCTGAATATTTAAGCCTCTAATGTTAACATGGATTATATACACTAATCCTATTAAAAAATGTTTTCTGGTTTCAAAAGAAGTGTTAGAAAAGTAGTACAACTTAAGAAAAAGACAGTAAGTCCTTTAGGACCTTTTCAAAATGGTCATTCTTTTTTCTTTTTTAATGTGGACATGGCTAAAACATCAAGTGGTATTTCATCTGCTCATGTGAGTCAGGCCCACAGCACTATTGCCTTTGTGACATCTAAAGCACCAGTGTTAACAAAAATTAAACTATTGTCACAGAGCCCCTCTGTGCTATTGAAATGGTGACCAAGTACATGGGATGATATTTTAAGGCCAACCCAGATATAGGATGAAAGGGGTCATTTGGACATACTTTGCTTCAATAAAAATATAAAATTTGGTGGCAATTTAAGCTATCATATAAAGTATTTTTTAAGAAGGGAAAACCCCACATTGATTTTGAGATCAATATCATCCTAAAAGTGGTGTGTATCATTACCAAAAATACACTGCCCCATTTTTTCTGTATCATTAGCATAGAGTTGGTTCAATTGTATTAACTAGCCTAGGACACGGAGCTTTTCCACAATACTTCAGGCACTCTCTAGAACTTTAATGATGTGTTCAGCTCTATGTTAATGATCATCACTTTATCAGGGGCCTCTCACAGGATAAAAGAACGTCTGACCTTTTTTTAATGTTGTTTAATCCATGTTTCACCTTACTTTAGGATTTTGGCAGTTCTCTCCCCCAGCACATTGATTTTGGCCCATTCAGTTACTTTGACCTCATTATAATTAAGGTAATTGCTTTAATTCTGCTTTGTCAGCATGTCTCTTCACCCACTATCTAGGAATTACTCATTGGATTTAACCTTTCTGAAGGAAGCTTCTCAAATGGCATCAGGCCCTCCAGATACAAAACATAAATGTCAGGGCTTAGGATACGATGTACCTGGGATGTGCTGGTATAGACACCTGACCATCAAGTCTGCCTTCTGTAGACAGAGGTAAAGAGAAGGCATCTAAGTCATGGCCTGGGAGAGAGACCCTGCCTTTTAGCCTGTGAGTGGCATACATAGTGGGAAGACACAAATGACACTTGTGTTCTCCTTCCGTGCCCATCACAGAAACTAAGCACCCACCCTAGGAAGTTCCCACACCTTTGAGCTCACATGAAAGGAGGTGTCTTTTCCAAGTTGGTCAGTAAATATTGGTGATCCTAATATATATAGCCTCTTTGTGCCATCTGAGCTCCATGTCAGTTTTAAAGTCCCCTTCTGAGAGATCATCACTGCTGTTATCATTGTGGGCTGGGAGAGAGATGCAAGGGAAATTGCTTCTGAGAATATTATATATGTTGGAATGCATAAAAATGGCTTGGGAAAGCTCAAGAGACATATCTCCATGACTTCTACCTCCCTGGGAAAACTTATGGATATAAAATAGAAGGTTAGAAGGTAACAGGATTAAAATAAAATACAATTAAAATAGCTCCTTATTATAAAACATATTTCCTTGCCCTTCAGAATATTCTCTACCATAAAACATCCATTGCATTTAGTTCATTTATCAAAGATGTTAGTTACCCATAACAACAATTTTATTAGACATAATTTTATATATATTTCAAGAGAAAGAAAGTATTTTCAAGGAGCCAGATAATTAGACACAAATAAAAGTGACATTTTGGTCAAGTGCCCACTGGTGTCAGGTGCTTTCTCGTATTATCTTAATCTTAACTGTGCAAAGAATTTTTATTCTCATTTTTTTTGCAGCTGAAGAAATCAAGGCTCAGAGAAGATAAGAAACTTTTATGTAAGAGTGCCTGTTATTAAATCATCTGGCCCAGATGTGAAATCTAGCCAGAAATATATAGTTTCATTAATATAGTAAATTAGGGTGAACAACTTCCAGAATTGTGCAGAGTGGAGAAAATTCCCCAGATGTCAGACTTTGGAGCTCAAATTGAGTTCCAGAAAAACAAAACAAATGATTCCAGTATTTGAGACTCAAATGTATTCAGTGGTATGAGAACCTTTACATGGGTTGTACTAATAGTCTTTAGTATTCCAGGATAATATAACTTATCATTAGATCTTAACAACCTTTTCTCTTCTCCTTCTATCACTATATGTGCACAAATATCCCTCCAAACATGATATTTCTGGTGCTTAAACAAAAATCTAATAAGGAAGCCATGTGCAGTGGTACATGACGATTATCCTAACTATTCAGGAGGCTGAAAGGGAGGTTTGTGAAGGCAGCCTGGGCAACATAGTAAGATCCTATCTCAGGAGGGGAAAAAAAAAATCAAAGGCTAATAACTGGAAAACCAATTCCTGAAAAACAATTATGACTTGGTTGATTAGAATTAAGGAGTAATCCAAAATGAGAAAGGCCCAACACAAAGAGACAGATAATTATTCAAAGGGAATGATTGATTCACTTTTTAGCTACTACTTGTGAACACTTAGTGTCAGATACTATGCTAGGCATTTTACATGTATTATTATTCTCACAATAACCACATTTTAAGGTAAGGAAACTGAAGTTTAGAAAGACCCTGTAGTTAGTCCAATATTATACAGTTAGTAAGTGACAGAGGTGTGACTATTCCCAACTCTACCTGAATTCAGACTTTTTCAGTGAGCTCAGTTCACCTAGATATTTATTGAGAATGCATTATTTCCCCAGATTCATTCTCAGAATATAAAGCTAAGTGAGAATCCATGCCCTTCAACCCTATTTGTAAGAGAACAGGTAGGAAGTTAACAAGTCACAGGCATGGAGTGGAAAATAGTAGGTGCCTAGATATCAATGGTACGCTATTCAAAGGAGGAAGAGAAGTTTCAGGTTAGATGAACATTTCATCATTTCAAATGTTCCCATTTACTCAAAATTTAGAAAATGTTATCACTTGATGTATCTTTATGCACACAGAGATGATAGCTTTCCTTTGCCTAGTGTTAACCCATGAAACTTTTTTAATGAACTAGTACCGCCACGTCAGGATCTACTACATTAACTTCATAAAATATGGAGTAGTACATAGTGATTTCCAGTTAATTAGACACAAATTTTAGATGCAAAATATTAGTTCCCTTATTATATAAAGCAGTTCATTATATAATATGGTTGTATAAAATTATGTAGTGGTTAATCAACTAAATTTTCAAACATGCCATGTTAGTTTTGCATCAATGTAACAGATACTGGAGACAAATCAACTTAAAATAAAAAAGGAAGGTTTATTTTGATCCACAGTTTCAGAGGTTTTGACCCATTGGTCCTGTTTCTTTGGGCCTGTGGTAGCACAGTGCATCATGGCAGGAGCACATGGTGGATGGGGCCTCTTCACCTCATGGTGGTAGGGAGGCAAAGAGAGTAAGAGGATGGGGCTAGGTCTCAATACCCCCTTTAAGGGCACGCCTCCAATTACCTCACTTCCTTCCTCTAGGTCACATTTCCTAAAGGTTCCATGCCCACTGACCCCTCTCCATAGCAAGCACCACAAGCTGGGGACCCAGTCTTCAACACAGGGACCTTGGGGGGACATTTAAGATTCAAATTATAGCATATGCTATATGCACATGGATCCACTTCAGAATTACTTACAAACTGATAAATATAATTAACAGTTAAAATTCTAATAAATATTATTTCATCTTTTTATCACTGGTAACTCTGAAAATATTTCTGAAATTGCACTTACACAGAATTGAATTCTTATTATCCAAAATTATCACTGAATTATTGAGACTCAAAGTACTGGTGAATACATTTCTTATAGTGAAGGTCAGTTCATGGAGTAGTCCACAGCTATACAAATGTGAAATTTGAAAAAATTGGTAAGACTATTCACCAAAACAGTGTGTCTTCTTAGGATTTTTAAAAGGTAGAATTGATATTCTCCTAATTCCCACTAAAACATTTCATTATGATTTAGCTTTCCTTAATCCAGTCATTTAAAATTAATTGTATTGACCAAGAATTCTACTAAGTAGACCTTTCATACTCCCCTAGTGTAATGATAAGTGATTTTCATAATAATGACTTTGTGTCATCACAAGATTCTTAAATGTCTCCTGAATGAAAAGACACTCGATTGTGTTCATTATAATTCAGGCTATAGGTATATTTTATCTTATGAGTTGATCCTCAAATGAACCTCTTAAATTTTTTCATTATTTTTTTAGTTGACACATAAAAGCTTGCTGAAGATTTCACACTCTGTCATAGCAACCCTAACTTCCCCAGAAGATGCCTGCAGGGACCTTCTACCTGGTCTGGTTTCTCACCAAGACCTCATTAAGTTCTCAGCTCATCTGCTAGATAGCAATGACTAGCTCCCCAGGGACCCAGGGAAAGCTCCTAGCCCTTACAATTTCATTCTCAGCTCCACTCCCTTGAGAATAGACTCTGCAAACTGTTGCCTTTCAGAGTCTCTTCCTTTTTCTCCCCAATCCCTACCAGGAATGGGACGTTGCCTCAGAAAAAGTGGCACCACTTAGAGGAGATACCCAGTGCTCCAAGGTGACCACACAGAGTTCTTTCAAGCCCTGCCTAGAGGCTCTCATGTGAAACCTCTACCTAGAATATGCCCTGTGCTCCCAATTGAGAGCCCAGTTCTACAGTTTTAGATTGTTCCAACTAATCCGGGAATCCAAGGCTAGTCCAGGTGAGTCCCTTCCTGAGAATCATGCTAGAGTGAGCACCTTCTCATCCCCACACCTCACATTGCCCCAGAGTGCCACATCAGCTAAGCTTCTGGCCTGCCAACTCTTGCAGCCTAGAGCCAGAGGCCACGTGGGTACAGAGCCCATCAGTGAGGCCCTGCCGCCGCTGATTCAACTCCCCTGTTCCCTACCTCCACTCTTCCTGGAGTGGAAAGAATTTACCTAATTACAGGAAATACTGAGAAAACATTCATTAAAAATTGGACTCAAAACAAAATTGAGTTTAAAACAAGTTACTTTTTTGATGGAAAAAAAAGCAAAATATTAACGTTATACTGCATTATACATTATTTTCTTCAGGATATTTGAAAATTTTCAGCTCATAAATCCTCTTAATCTCATTGTCCATGTATGTGCACATTTTGCCCATGGTCAAAATGTAGTATTGCCTGCTCTGTTCTATTTATTCTCACCATGTAGAGCAGAGGGGAGGAAATTGATCCTATTTGTTCTAAGCCAAGTTCACTCCCCTGAAACAAAAAGAACACATGCACACATCAGCATGTATTCACAGACACATAACTGGACCGCAGTCATTGAACTTGATGGAGAGAATCAATTTGAAAGAACTGAGTCCCCTTCTTGATTAGGGAAAACTTCTGGTTGTGTCTAGATAGGAAACCTTTTTTATATCAGAACACACTGAGAGAGAGAGTACAGATTAAAAAAAAATCTTTACTCCATCTCAACTGGAAATCGCAGGACTTCATATAAAAATGTCAGAATAGAATGGGCAAAGGAAGCTCCATTTGCTGCAGCCAGATTCCCTTATTAAGAAACTTTTAATGAGGCTCACTCTATTCTCTTTGGTTCCTAGGGGAAAATAAGCTGGTAGGGGACCTTCTGGTCTTAGGCGGAGCCACACTCTATGGTATCTCTAACGTCTGGGAAGAATACATCATCCGAACCTTGAGCCGAGTGGAATTCCTGGGAATGATTGGTCTCTTTGGTGCATTTTTCAGTGGAATCCAATTGTGAGTAAAAAATAACAAAAAATTCAAGGAGCAAATAAATGGAACTTATTCTTAAAGTTTTTGTCCTTAAAAGTATAAAAATCAAGGCAGAAAAGCAGTCACAAACTTCCCACACAAAGGTCTCATGAAATGTGCAAAGTATATTTATTAGTAAATTTCCTTCAAACTACACACATTTCTATAAATTATAAAACACTTAATAGGCCTGGAAAATAATTTTCAAGAAAGCATTAAAAATGCATCCATTCTTCCAACCTAGTAAGCATGTTATTATTTAGAGAAGTAGAAAAATTAAGCATAAATATCACAATTCAGTGTTACTTCCACAAAAGGACATTCTGTTTACTAGCGATAACCACTAGGAAACCTCTGGTTGTAAGTTGCCCTTTTATAAACTTGTTTTTTATTGCCCATGGATCATATATCAAATTCATTTCTTAGAGTTAAGTATTTCCATCTTCCTTAAAAACATGAAAGTGTAACCCAATATTTATTAAGCTTCAAAAAAACCAAAAGCACAAGTTCTGTAATAATCCTGGAATTAGTGCATATAAATCATCACTTAATGAATTATGCAGTACCTCAATTTGTTGTGAGAATAAGTGTCAAATCATAATTTTCCATCAGTACAGAACATACATTTTAGTTTCATGTAAGAAGTAAAGAATGGTAGTATAACTTCCAGCCTAATTTCACCAAATCCTTTTCTACAGATGACTAATTCTCACATCAAATTCTATCCACAAAGCAAGTATTTTGTAATTGTGTTGGTTCAACATCTTAAATTACTAATGGAAGATAATGTGGCATCACCTTAAACACGTTTTGTATATAGGCTATTTCTAGCCAGCCTCCAGATTTTGGCATCCTGAATACTGGTGAAAAAACTCACCAAACAAAGCATAGAGGTGGGAAAGACTATCTGAGAAGAACTTAGTTTGAAACTGTGGTGGCATTTTAAAGTTCCTAAGTTTGGTGTTTGAGCTTTGGGAGAGGAGAATGAATTTTCTAGATCAGCTATTCATAGCCAATGTTCTGTAGATGGATGGCTCATGTTATGGCTTATTATACTTGAATCCAAAATATATATTCAGAGATTTAGTGCTCATTTGCTTCAGTTACAGCCCATTATTGATGACTGAGCCCTTTGAGGGACACTCGTTGCCAAATAAAGGCGTGTTTAGCAAATAGGATAATTGAAGGCACACTGGCACCAAAGCAATGCTGGTGGAGTGGTGCCAGCCTCACCTCCTGGTCCTCTTCTATTGAGTAGTTCTCAAAGTATGGTCCTCAGACCAGCAGTCCTGGCATTGCAGGAGAGCTTGTCCAAAATGCATCTCCTGGAGCCCCACCTGGACCTGCAGAATCAGGCTCTCTAGTGGTATTTTAACTCAGTCTCCAGATGACTTTAAGATACTTTTATCCTTGAGAACTACTACTCTAGAAAATGCCCAATCAGAAAATTGATTAAAGCTGCAAGCACAGAAATTTTCTGCATCTGGGCAATTGCTTCTTAGAAAGCACATGAGTGAGAAGGAACAAAGGATCTGGGTGGACTATTTGAGGACAGTGGAGTCTTGAGCTCTACCATAGCCACCAGGAAGATCTCACCACTGCTGGCCACTCTTGGCAAGATCACAGGCTGCCTCTGTATGGCTCAAAGTTATTTTTGAAATTCAATTGGTTGTTTTATTATTTGTATAAATATGGCAAATCAAGAGAAGGGAGAAAATAGAACAAATTATCATCTTGCTCATCAGGTCTGCTTTCTTTGAATTTGCAGAGCTATTATGGAGCATAAGGAGCTGTTAAAGGTGCCCTGGGATTGGCAAATAGGTAAGAAGTTTGCACACCTAAGATACTGTTTTTAGCAATCTTAAGAGTGATGTGACTGGGCGCAGTGCATGAACAAGGAAGGGATTTTGAATGGCAGGGGGAAAAGATGGTGAAATCCCTTTTCATTTCAGGGATTCCTGTACACTGTGAGAGACCTGATTGTGTAATTCATCATGTTTCCTACTTGAGCTTCTTCACATTATCACTGTCAAGGTGCCATTATTGTGGATAGACACAGAAGTGTGTTATTAGGTTAAAGACCAACCAGAAAGGAAAATGCCCTGAGGCAGTGGTAGCACAGAAATGACAGCAATTTTGTCTAGCCAGGAAGCACAAAACTGATGTGATCATTAAAAAGCGGCACTTTAGTAAAAGGGAAAAAACTGAACTTAACAAAAAAGCATGAAATGAAACAATGTAATGGGCATTCTGAGCCCATAAAAACCTTTTCAGAAAGGAGCAGTTTGCACATTAGAAATCCTTAATCCTTTCGGTATCCAAATGAACCTAGAAAATACCAGACATGCTTTGAGCTAGTTAATAGTCATCCAGAGCATATCATATTCCACCTGTTTCTAGAATCACTTTCCTCTAAAATATTGAGGACAAGAATTTCAAATCCTAGGTGATGCTCTAATGATCGATCACAGAGCAAGCCCGTGAAGGGACTGCCATTGAATGCCCTCAGCAGGTATCCTCCATGTCTATCCGGAGGCACACGGGTCCCAGTAGTGAACATGGAATTTGGCTTAGCCAAGAGGCGCTTGAGAAATGTGTGCAGAATGAATGAAAATGGAAGGCAAAAAAATACAGATGTTTCTACAACACTGGAGCTTGCTGTTCAAGCCATCTCCAGCCTATATAGATTTGACACAACTGACAGCTTCCTTTGACAAGGGAAGAGAACAAGGACATAAAGTCCCCTGCATCACTTTACTTACCTCTGGGCCCCTATGCTCCAGATCCACCTTGCTGGGGACATCATTTCCTCTGAAGGCACGTGTGAGCCATGGCAGTGCATGTGACATCCCCGAAGGGATATCACTAGTGATTTCAAGGGCTGCTCAGTCCTTATATCATCAAAGATCTGTGATTTATTTTTCCTCAAATGTATGTATAGGATGTTATAATTAAATGAAAATGAGTAGAGAGGAGAAGATGGGGAAGGCAGAGGGGGGCAGCCAGGAAAGGAAAGCAGCTGCAGGTTATAGAAGCAAATTTGCCTTGTGATTCTCAAAGCCACAACTCTCAAATGTTACTTGTGCTTAGTAGCACTTCACATGCAGTGGTCTGTGGGTATGAATTAATTTGATATTGACTTTAGTAATAATGATCAAAAAGAACTTCTCCTCTAATTATGTGGATGTCATGTGCATGTCCACCGAGGCTCTGTTATAATTCTGTGTTAGTTAAATGTGTCATCAAAAGATAGTTTTATCCTAAGCTCCCAGACTGCCATTAAAATGTCAGTCCTCTGTAGTTCAAGATGATGAAGACAGTGTAAAAGGAACACATTACACAGTCATCCATTTAATTCTTGATTGGAAATTAGGCCCAAATGGCCCAGAAGGGGAATCAAATATCCATCCTTCTCTTTCTGAAGGATTTGTAGGGTTGGGTTTGAAATTGTGATGCCTGGGCCACATTTGTCCTCACACTGGCCAACTACATACTTTTTCTTGTTTAGCTTGATTGTGGGCACATGGCTATCAGAGAAGGTGTTTTTATTGTTGTTGTTTTTGTTGTTCTTTTTAGTTATACACAACAGTAGAATATATTTTGGCAAATTGTAAGTACAAGAGTATAACTTCTATTTAGGATTCCACTCTTGTGATTGTACATGATGCAGAGTTACCCTGGTTGTGTATTCAAATACAAGGCTAAGAAAGTTATGTCCAGTTAGTTCTATGAATTAGTGTTTGTAGTGTTTGCTAAATGAGCAAATGAATGAATATCAGCAAAGAAGATGGATGCCATTCTACCTTCTCCCATCTCATAAAATATAGACAAATGGGAAGTGGTGGAGACAATGTTAAGGGGAGGACTTTAGGTAGACATTGCAGTTTCTGTCTGGGGAACTGGGACATGGAATAGCACCTACTGCCACTCCTAGACCAAAGAGGCAGGGAACATTAAGGGTGGTCAGCATCATCTCACCTTCCTCACACTCCTTGGGGAGTCACCCAAGAGTGGCCCAAGTTCTGATCTCTGAAGAACTCATATTGGTTGGGGTAAAAGAACATAATCTGAGTCTCTCTTCATTTTCCATCATCTGTCAGTGAATCTCTCTCCTTCCTCTTTCCACAACACTGATCTACCTCTTAGAATCTCTTGGACAGCTCATATGGTTTTTACTTTATCAAAATAAAAAATCTTTTTTTTCCTTAGAGTAGACGGAAGGATAAATGTTTTATATTTTCTGGACTTGAAGAAAGTTTTAACAGATTGTAATTTCCTACAGTGTGGGACAGTTGCAAGATACAGAATGATTAAAAGCAAGATACTACTTCTTATAGTTTTTATTCCTTTGTTTTACTCTACTGAACACCAAGACTGGCTGTGATTATCTGAACAGTAAACTCAAGTAAAATATACAACCTGATCCAGCTGAAGTATGCTCCTGGGGAGCAGAAACATTACAATCACAGCTGGAAGTCCAGTAAATAACTTAAATATTCCCTTTGTCCCATTTGCCATATTGTACTAATGGATGTATGAATGAATCCAGGCTAAGGTGAAAGTCAAATGTCGTAGGAAAGAAAATGTACTGGGGTTCAGTACTTGATGTTGTGGTTTGATTCCTTTTTTGTTTGTTTGTTTTGTTTGTTTTAAGGAGGCCAATCAAGATTTGGCCTTCCCTTGAAGATAGGATAATGGGACCACATAGCAGGGCGAATCTTGGAGTTAATTAAGGGTACACCTTTCTTTTTATCAATGAATCTGAGGTGTAGACAGTTGAGGCCCCTTGACTGGGTTCATGGCTTCCTGTTATGGGACTGCAGGCCAACTCTCCTGTTAACAGTGTGTCCATTTGATTGACTGTGGTATTTACAAACAGGGTAATCGTACACCAAAGCACTAGTTCACCTAACAAAACAGACCACTGGGATGGCGTATCTATTCCACTGTGTCCCCCTATATTTAATTTCTGCAGCTTTAAAAAATATGTTTAAGCCGGTAGCAGTCTGAGTTAGCCTGATTAGTAGAGTGAAAGTCTGCTGTATACCAGTTTTTCTACTCTCTCGGTTTAGCAAGTGTGCTTGTAAAGTCACACCTCTTCTCTGAGCCCTCCAAGGACTTATCCAGCTCTCTAATAGACAAATCCTCATGGATTATACATAAGCATCTAAAATTTGACTTTCAAAATGGAGCTTTTATTTCCCCTGAAAACCTAGTCTCCCTTAGTTCTTTCCATCTCAGTAAATACTATCATAATTCACCTAGTTTCTAAATTAGCTAGAACTCATAGCATCCTTGATACCTTCCCTTCCTCACTACCCACCTTCAGTCCCTCACTAGGGTTTGTTGAGTCTTCACAGATCTAGCCTCCTTCCTTCTTCTCCCGTGCCATTGGGAGCAAGCCCAGGCAAGCCACTAATCTCTCTTGCCTGGGCTAGGATACTGAATTTTCCACTGGTCTCCTCCCAGGCTTTCTTCTTTCTCATCTGCTCTATACAGAGTAGACAAAGTAATCTAAAAATGAAAATCAGATTACTTTAAACTCCTGCTACAAACTGCTCAATGTCTTCCTATTGCAACTAGAATAGGACATAAATTTCTTTTCTAAGACACAAGTATTGGTATAATACATCCTCTTCCTAATTTTCCTACCTCATTTCTTGTGACTGCCCATTCAGTCATTCTGGACCCTGGCAGCTCCTCAAAGATTTTATACCCTGTCCCTTCTCAGGTTCTTTTCATGTGAAGATCTCCCTGCCTAAAATATTCTTCCCTTGCTTTCTACTGTCTCCTTTTAGTCCATTAGCATTCAAGATATATGTCATCTCCACAAAGCAGCTTTACCTAATCACCTTTTCTAACCACTACCCGCTCCTGCAGATCTCAAATAGCAACCCTAAGCTTCTGGTCCATCTTGTGTTTCATTGTATTTCTAGCCCATTGCAGAGTCCCTAGGGTATAGAAGGTACTCAGTAAATAATGGTTGGGTAAATGAGTGAATATAAGACATCAGAACCCACAAGTCAGAATCCACACAGGGCATGCTAGGTAATATGAATAAAGAGTAGAAGAATTCTGGAACATTGGAGCGCAGACATGGTATGATGCAAATCAATGATGCCCTTTAAAAAAAAATAGTGTGGACTATATTCTATCCAAACTTGATTATTTTTAGTGACTTAAAGATGGATCTGTTCAGAGTCTGTTAATCACAGAGTTCTTTAAGAAATACTGAATTAATTTTATGTCTTTTCATGTATTAGTCATAGGTTATGTAGTATTTATTGCGTTTTTAGTAACTTGATTAAGAGGAAAATGAATTACAAGTAGTGTGAAACCCAAGTATAGGGAAATTGGCTACTTTTAGAGAATTGAAACTTCTGATGGAGAATCAAAAACCTTCTGATATTACTATGACAGAATATACACACAAGATCTACCTTATTGAAATAATGAAAACGCATTTCCCTCTTCCTCTTGGAGTGAAGGGCATGTCCTCCACACTAGAGGGGGCTATTGTACCGAGTTTACTTACTTCATGCTCAAAATTTTTATGTAGATCTAATGTCACTTTTGTTAAGCATAGGATCTAAAACATATAGAAATAAGTTTTTACCCTTAAGTACTTTTTATAGGGGCAAGCAAAATTAATATGGAGGAAGAAAAACTGCCTTCGGTGAGCCGTAGGTCGGGTGCAAGATTCCTCTTGGTCCTCCTAGTGGGGATGCTGAGGATGCTGGAGGAGGCACTGACATTCCTCTCTTTACTCTCCCCCAGGACTGCTCTATGTTGGCTTTAGTGCCTGCATGTTTGGTCTCTACAGCTTTATGCCAGTTGTCATAAAGAAAACCAGCGCCACCTCGGTCAACCTCTCTCTGCTCACAGCGGATTTGTACAGCCTGTTCTGTGGATTGTTTCTCTTCCACTACAAGGTAAGTTGAGTCAGTGTTCCCTTGTGAAGATGACACTCTGTAGACATGACACACCGGTCAGAGTGCTGGGACGTGGGACACACTGATTTTGTGTGGAAAATAGGAATGCAATTTTGTAAGCAAGCTCCCATGATTTGGGTGTTCACATTTCAGCTCTAAGACAGAAGCTAAGTTTTGTCTCTAGACCATTAACTACAATTGATGGTAAAAGATAAGCAACAGCCACAGGAGGAAGAGCCTAAATAATAGGGAACAGTTTTCCCTATATCATTCAGCCCAGAAGCTACACTTATTTCTGACCTGTAGCTAGGAAGATTTGTCCAATTCCCACACTACAAGCACAAAATGGGTTCTGCCAAAGGCATTGGCAGATTATGTTCTCTTTGGAGAAAAGACACAATTCTTGCAGTTTCTACTTTGCAGATATTTTTATAGCAAAAATGAATGGAAAATGCTAATGCACTAGAAATAGTTTCTATTCTGAAATATTTGAGTTTGAGTAAAGGAATGCAAAGAGATCTTGTGAGGCATTTTCAGTTAATATATCAGCCCTGAAGAAAGGAAGAAATTATCCTGTCAGAAGATGGCCCCCTCTTAGAATGCAAGACCGTACACACATCTTCACCCAAGGCAGGCATGACTAATTGATTATGACACACCAAGGTCTAGTGCTGTTCTGAACACCACACTTGCTGCATCCATTAACAATGGCTTAGAATTGGTATGTGTGAAGAGACCCACTTGCCATTCCTTCACTAGTCCTTTGAAAACACAGAGTGAAGCAGGCCAAGTATGGAATGTCTAAGCACGTAAGACCAAAGTAGGACAGGCAAAAGGAGGAGAGACGTACCTGGTCACTGGTAACCATGTGCTTCATCAGTGGTATTATAGTTAATATCACCAGCACGCACCAGCATGGCCAGATGATGGGGCACCTTGGTGGGCAGAACACCTTCCATCAGGTGGAAATGAGCTTGGAATCTCTTAGAATAAGGGTGGGCTGGAAACAGTGGATATTTGAGATGACAAGAGGCAAAGCAACTTAAGTGAATAATCAGAATTATCATCAAGAGGAACAAATGTCCTAAGCCCAGAAACAAACTGAGAAGAGCACAGACAAGACTAGTACCTGGAAGGACAAGAAACAGATCTGGAAGAGAGCAGAGAGTGAGAAAGTGGCCGTGGCTGTGGGCTGGGATAAGTGTGTAAGTCCCTAATTGTTCCCAATTTTATTGAGGCATAATTGACAAAAACTGGAGAAAGATAAATATGTATGTGTGTGTGTGTGTATCCAGTTTTTGTCAATTATACATATATATATATATATATATATATATATATATATATATAATATGATGTTTTGATATACATGTGCATTGTAAAATGTTTGCCACAATCAAGCACATTAACATATCCATCACCACAGTTTTGTTTTGTTTTTTTCTCTCTGTGGTGAGAATATTTAAGATCTTTCTTAACAAACTGCAGACATTTAATACATTAACTACAGTCATCACGTTGGACATTAGATCTTCAGAACTTATTATCTTAAAACTGAAAGTTTGTGCCCTTTAACCAACATTTCCCCATTTTCCCTGAGTTTCTATTTTATATGGAGCTTTTTGTCCAGTACACAGGCAAAAATATAACAGCTAAAAGAAACAACCTAGGCCTGGATGATATTTATTGTTAATAATTTGTTTTGTCTAAATAGTTTAACTTCTGTGTTCCTTATTCTAAGAGATTCCAAGCTCATTTCCACCTGATGGAAGGTCACCCAAGTACTCATAAGGGTAAAAAGAAGAAAACCATGATATGTTCCCCTCATGTTGCTCTTGACCACTGGACCACAGTGCTGGGAAAACCAGGATCCCTCAAAATGCTAATCACTGTACAGACCCTAGGGACTACCCGGCCATGGTCTTACTACAGCAAAATGGCCATGATTTTTTTTTTCTCTTCTCTGCAGTTAAGAATCCATATCTAGACCATTCCTTAACATGAATTCAGTTCTGAGCAATTAACCTTGTAATTGACTTTATAAGTTCCCTTACTAGAAGAATCCCTTTAATCTCCCTTTAGGAAATACAACTGAAATTCATTGTTCTGATTGAGGACAAGCATCACTTCTTGGGCAGAGGAGACCCAGTCCGCCTCTCAGCTTCCCTTAGAGCAGTGTTCTTAAAAGTCTGCTTTCACCCCAGGAGCCTGTTTAAAAATGCAGATTTATGAGCCATACCCCAGAGTCACAGAATCAGTGTCTGGGGACATGTCTGGGAATGTTTGCCTTAACAGGCTCTCCTGTGAGTCCAATGCTCTCTGAATTTGAAAATCACTATTTTGGAGGGAACAGGGAGCACCTGAGCAGTGCCCATTCCTGTTTAAATCTGCCACCTCTGCTGACTTTAGCTTAGACCTGGGGTTCCTCGCATTTGCAAGCATCAGGAGCAGAGAGGGCTGATGTATCAGGTAAATTCTTAAACTCTGCAACCATCCTCTCCTTCCACTGTATGTTTCCCTTGTGTGTTACTCGCCCTTATGTATTGCTTTGTTGATGAGGAAACCATGTAATCCCCATATATCATATATTTGCCACTATTTGAAATGTATTTCCTTAAGGCAGAGCTCATTCCAACACAGTAGCTGCTTTTTATTCTCATTAAGATTGATTCCTATTCTTTTAAAAAAACGTTAAATTGATAAAGATGTTGTGGTCTGAATGTGAGGCATCCCCCCAAAAGAACTCATAGTAGGCAAGGCAGGAGTGTTTAGAGGTGAATGATGAGTTTATGAAAGTGGTAATTGAATTGGTGGATTAATCCATTTGATGAATTAATGATTTGAATGGATTACTAGGTTGTAACTGTAAGCAGGTGGGACGGGGCTGGAGAAAGTAGGTCACTGAGGGCATGACCTTGGGGATTATATCTTGTCCCTGGCTCCTTGCTTTCTCTGCTCTCTAGCTGCCTTGAGCTAAGAAGCTTTCCTCTTCCACACCCTTCACCATCATGTTCTGCCTCATTGTGGTTCCAGAGCAGTGGAACTGGCCAACCACAGACTGAACCTCTAAAGCCATGAGCCCAGAATAAAATTTTCCTCTACTAAATTATTTTTGTCAGGTGTTTTGGTCACAGCAATGAAAAGCTGCCTAACACAAGGTAATTATAGATTTACAAGCAATTTTAGGAAATAATTCAGAGAGACTCCATAATCCTTTATCTGTTTTTCTCTATTGGTAACATCTTGCAAAACTATACAAGAATATTGGGATATTAACATTGATGGAGTCCACATTAAGAAATTCCCATCACCACAGGGATTGCTCATGTTGCCTTTTTATAATCCTACCTACTTCCCTTTCACCCATTCCACCTGCTTGAAACCACTAATTTCTTCTCCATTTGTAAAAATTTGTCATTTCAAGAATGTTATATAAATTGCAGTTATACATATGTTGGCTTTAGGGATTAACTTTTTTCACTGAGCATAATTCAGTAGTTAATCATTTTTATTGCTAAGTAGTACTCCACAGTATGGATGTACTAGAGTGTATTAAACCACCTACCTGGTAAAGGACAACTGAATTATCTCTATTTGGGGCTGTTACAAATAAAACCTCTAGGAACATTCATGTACAGATTTTTGTGTAAACAGAAGTTTTTGTTTCTCTGAGATAAATGCCCAAGAGTATAATTGCAGGGTTGTACGGTCATGGTATATTTAATTTTAGAAGAAACTGTCAAACTATTTACAGAGTGATTTATTGACTTTTATTGCAAATAAATACATACTAATTCTGAGAAAGAATATACAAATAAGTGCCCTTACACTTTGGTCCCATTTTACAATGCATACATATATTTACAGTGCACATATATTTTACAGTTCATATATATTTTAATAGAAATTTAATTACACTGTACATAGTTTTGCCACATGCTTTATTTAAATTTAAAATATATATGTTTCCATGTTATTTAATGTCTGTATATAATGTGGGTCTAAATTAGTGACTCTCACATCTGGCTATATATTTCTATCACCAAGAAAGAATATAAAACACAGCTGTGCCTAGATTCTATCCCAAAGAGTTTGATCCTGATTATTGGGAATGGGGCATTTTAAGATCTCCTCAGGTGATCCATCACATACCCTAATATACAGAATTGAAAAATCACTAATTTATAAGATTATTTTTAATGGCCATATAGTATTCCATGGACTGCTTATGCTTTGTTTAGTGAAGGGTTTCTCAACCATGGCACTATTGCCATTTTAGATCAGGCAATTCCTTGTTACAGGAGCCTGTCCTTCACATTATAGAATGGTTAGCTGCATCCCTGGTTTTAATGTGTTAGATATTGGTAGTATCCCCCAGTAATGACATCCAAAAATGTCTCTACACATTGCTAAATATTGGAAATTACTATTTAACAGCTAATTATGGAATTTTGATGCTCTTTTTGGCTAATGTCATTTGGAGAATTAACTCATAGTAAATTCCACTCGCATCCAATGTTTCTATTTTTTTATTTAAATAAATTTATATAATTGTTCTTATCACTTCTAATTTGAAGCACAAATGTCTTAAATAATTTGAAAATCTTATTTAAAATAATTTGAAAATTCTTTGCATACAGCATAGAGGCAGTTTATGCAAAGCCCTGTTGATTTAACAACAATGTCAGGATATAGACAAATGCTCTATTCTCCTTTCCTTCACTGTCATTGATATCACATAGCTTGGTTCTTGAAGTAGCACTGCCTTGTGTTGTTTTCTAATTGTTTTGTGAATAACAGCAGTTAATGTAACAAAGAAATAATAGTTATTTAATTTACATTTAATATAAACAAAGAAATAGCTAAATGCTCCTTTAATCTACATCTAAATTAAAAAAAATAACTTTCTTTTGCCTTAAGGAGTTTACAAAAGACTCTTCAGGGAAATTCTTGAATTTTCAAATAGTCATTGTGAAACCCAGGGTTTCTTCTCAGATCTC